CCCTCCCCCCCCCCCTTTCCTGCACCCCAGGGAGACTCCGGGGGACCCCTGAACTGCCAGGCGGCCGACGGGAGGTGGGAGGTGCACGGCGTGGCCAGCTTTGTGTCCGGGCTGGGCTGCAACGCGCCCAAGAAGCCCACGGTCTTCACGCGCGTGTCCGCCTTCAGGGACTGGATCAGCGAGGTGGGTGCGGGGGATGGGGACGTGGGGTGCGGTGCCCGAGTGGCAACGGGACAGGGTGCTGGGGTGCCAGGGTGCTGGGGTCATGAGGAGCCAGGGCACTGGGGTACTTGGGTGCCATGGTGTTGGGGTACCAGGGTGCCAGGGGATTGGAGTGTTGGGGTGCCATGGTGTTGGGGTGCCAGGGGACTGGGGAGCTGGGGCACTGTGGTTCTGGGGTACCAGGGTGCTGGGGTCATGAGGAGCCAGGGCACTGGGGTACTTGGGTGCCGTGGTGTTGGGGTACCAGGGTGCCAGGGGATTGGAGTGCTGGGGTGCCGTGGTTCTGGGGTACCTGGGTGCTGGGGTGCCAGCGTGCTTGGGAACCATGGTGTCAGAGCACCAGGGGGCCAGGGCAATGGGATGTATGGGTACCATGGTTCTGGGGTGCCATGGTGCTGCGTGCTGGGGTGCTGAGGAGCCAGGGCACTGGGGTACTTGGGTGCTGTGGTGTTGGGGTATCAGGGTACCGGGGTATCAGGGTGCCAGGGTACCAGGGGACTGGGGCTCTGGGGTGTCATGGTTCTGGGGCACCAGGGTGCTAGGATGCTGGATGCCATGGTGTTGGGGTACCAGGGTGCCAGAATTGGGGTGCTGGGGTGCTAGAGTGCCAGCTTGCTGGGGTGTTGGGTGCCAGAGTGCTGGGACACCAGAGTACCAGGGTGCCAGGACACTGGGGTGCTGGGGTAGCTATCATGTTGGGGTATCAGGGTGTTAGGACACTGGGCTGCCAGGGTGCCAGGGCATTGGGGTGCTGGGGTGCTGCACCCCCTGAGCAACTTCTCCCTTCCAGACCATGAGCCAGCACTGAGCACGGTGACAGTGGTGACCTCCTGGTGTGACACTGGTGCCCTCCCTGCGTGGCACCTGGCAAATAAACCCACAGCTCTGGCACCTCCTGTGTCCCTGTGCTGGGGGGGGCATGGGCTGGGGGGGGGGTGGCACGGGAGGGGATGGGTGGCATGGGCTGAGTGGGTGCACAGAGTACGCAGAGGTGCCCAGAGACCACGGGGAAGGGCACCCAGAGGCACCCCGGTGCCACAGGGACAAGCACCCCGAGATGCCTAGAAGCCACAGGGATGTGGCACTATGGTGCCAAGGGGATGGGCACCCCAAGACACCTTGGTGCCACGAGGATGGGCATCTAGAGGTGACCTGATGCCCGTGGGATGGGCAACCACCCCAGGGCACCCTGGTGCCAGAGTGCTGAGCCCCCAGGTGTGCCCCAATGCCATGTGGGTGGACCTCCCCCCCCCCACAAGATGCTCTGAGGCCGCGGGGATGGGCACCCCAGTGATGTCCTGTCACCTTGGGGATGGGTCCCCCCCTGAGGTGTCCCAAGGCCCCAGGGATGGACCCCTCCCTCCATGTGCCCCAGGACCTCGGCGATGGGTGCTCTGTGATTACCTGCCAGGACAGAGCTGCCTCCTCCAGCTGCTCTGAGTGATGGGCACCCAGTGACACCCTGTCACCAGGGGGATGAACCCCCCCCCGCCAAGCCGTGGGGAGGGGCCCCCCCGCG